ACTTGATCTTTGATACTAATGTCATTAACATCTGAACTTGAGTCTTTAACATCTAAACTCGAGTCTCCGACATGGGAATTTGAATCGGTGCTGTCACCACTGTTTTTGACCTCATTTTCTGTGTTCTACAGTACAAAATAGCATTACCAAACAAGCTTCATATTAGGCCCTATAAAAAATATTATTAGTTTATCACCCTATCTGGGCAGGAAAAGTGATGAGGGAGGGAGGCTTTTTTTTAAAACTTTTTATTTTGCTAAAGCCAAATATCACCCTTGGGTTGTTTGCTGGTGCATTGATATTCAAAGTAAAACATGATTTAGATAATGCAAACAATATCTACTAACTATTTAATAAAATAAATGGAAAAAATAAATAAATAAAATAAAAAATAAAAAAATAATTTTTTTTTTCCAGTACTATAGAAGGCATGCGCATGAGGGTGATAAATTACAAATTTTTTTTATTGGGCCTTAATACAACCCAGTGAGTATAATTTGCATTGTTTTCACACTGCTACAAATACCCTTTTAATTGGGGGATCCAGAATTTTTTTACTGGAGAAGCATGAGTGGCAATTTAGAATTTAACATTCAAGAACAGCAGTTAGGGGGTTTTTCCTACTTATTATGGGGGTCCAGAGGGCTATTCTGCCTGGATGCTTCGCAGATTTATTTATCTTAATATACTTATCTCAATTGTTTCTTATGAATCTGCCACAGCATTTCTCTCCTTGTAATTACAATGTATAACACTGCATAATAGGCAATCAAATGAAAAAAGTTTGAAATTTTTCAAAACGCACCTTTTCTGGAAAATAAAATCCAGCAATATCTGTGGCTTTCTGAAGAGGCTTCTTGCTGCATGTTATTGTCATCTATAAAAAGAAAAAAGAATTGCTAAACACTTTTGAAATTTTCTTTGCCACAAAAGAGAAAAAAGTTTGCAAACCAGCTGAACGAAATTATTGTAATACTATTCCTGTTGAAAATAAGCTTGCATACCTTTTTCTCAGGTACTTTTTTTAAGTGCTCAGAGCCACTGATTTCTGCAGTGAGTTGATATGTCAATGCCATCACCTTCACATCTGTAGCTGATAAACTTCCCCAATCTCCAGTCTTTTTAGCAAAGTCTGAAACTGCAAGAAAAAAAAAAACTACTACCAGTTTCACAATCAGTGTTCGAAAAATCACTGTGTGTGTGACTATGTATCCTGTACCTTGTCATGTTTTTTCCCGAAAGAGTTTGGTAGAGAATATACACTGTTAAGCTGAAGAGGGTCACTGTGAAAATGTATGTCATTTATATAATTGTGTAGGTATGTGATGTTCTGTATATTATGCAGTTTTCCTACTGTCTAATCAATTTGCGTTTAGCTCCGTGAGCAACCGCTATACCATATTCTTCCTTCGGAAGACTCGTATAATGAAGATTATAACTGCAGGTAGGTACCTTTGCATAATCTATAATTTTGTTAGAATTTCAAGGATAATTGGATCAAAATGACAATCATGTCATGTGATCATATCATAGTCATGTCATATGCCAAGTGATCATAATCATACCATGGACTACGCTATCACTTGAAGGTGTTTTGAATTTGATATCGTAAGGTAACACAGCCAAACGCTGTCTTGTAGCTGAATCTCTGATTTCACTCACAACCTCTTGAATGGTATAAATATTTTCTGCAAGTTCCTGCAATAAACAGATCAACAGTTAATATAATTGTATAGGCCTACTGTAAAATTACAAAGATTTTTCATATAAATTTTTGAAAGTACACTGGAAATATCAAAGTTTGACATTGAGTCAAACATTAAGTCAACACCCCCACCCCCCACCAATTTTTATGCCCACCCTGGATCCAGATGGTCAATAATAGTATTCATAATATTTGGTGAAGCGTAACATCCAATATATACATAAGCATGACTTTGGACACTGTGCAACCGTGAAAGAAGTGACTTACCCACTGCTACTGGCCTAGCTAGGCCTACCTACCACTGCCAGAGTTCCTTGCTTAATTCGATGCTCCTCTACCTAAATAACCACGTTCATCTCGTACGTTCGCTGCCGCTACTGACTGACTGAGCTAAAAAATAGATGAAAACCAAGTACATTACCTGAAGCTGTACATTTTTCAGGAACCCAGCTGCGTCGACAATTAGATGGTCTATTTTCCTATTCATTCTTGTTTCAAAAACAATTGTTAAGTCAGATATAAATTACTCTTACACGCTAGAAATTTAAAAAAAAAAAATTTATAAAAACAATTCGTGTACTTCCCATAACACATGGATTGATTGACCTATTACCAGTCGTTATATTGATGAATTACTAATTTTCCAAATTAATAATTAGATAGCGACTGTAGAGCTGTAGACTAAGAGTACCAAGTTCTCTTGGGGGCGCTACAGAAAAATTACACAAATTCTAAAAATAAATAACAAATAATTTCTAATCTCTGTGTTACAAAAGTAGAAATTTTACACAACTTATAAATATGCCAGCTATAGAAGGTACGTTATTTTCCTTTCCCTTACGATCCTCAATGAATAAATTACTCTTAAAAGTTAGGCCTATGGTGGGTCTCTTTTTGATAAGTTCTTACCAGGCCTAGCATAGGCCTACTTACCATCCAAGCTAGGTTAGGCTAGGGATGGCTTAGCTAGGGCGGCCTATCGTCCTACCTGGACCTAGACCAGCCCTTGGTGGATAGGCCTACACTCTGTAAGGATATATGACGCAAAACAAAGGAAGGAAAGCATTTAAATGAATGGCGTTATTTGGAGCACCTTTTTGAAACATTTTGCAGGATTTGACAAACCTATAGTTTAAATTAACAAATAAAATAGGCTTACAGTGCAGGCCTAGGCTATGCCTACCTACTACTGTAACAGTACTATAATTATACCATGAAAATTTAAAATATGTTTTACATCTCCCTGATTATACTATTCTTTTTTATATTAGTTAGGCCTGTAATGTATTAATAGAGGTTGATTTCATTCCTTTATCTATATCAAGAAACTAAAATACTCATTTAAAAATCATAGATGCATTGATGCAATATTGCCCTCCTAGTTTTCTTTAATATTTAATACATTTTTTATTGTATTTTCTAATTTTTCCAGATACTCTTTTCCAGTTGAAGGCAAGTTTTAGTTTGATTGTATTACGGTGTCACTTTTTTCCGTAAAATTTGTAAAATATTCCGACATCTGTAACATAACTGCAGAGAAAGCAAACCTACTGTATATGACAAATTTTTCTGCAGCACTGCTAATTTTATTGAACATTAACATTTTCATTGAATAAAATACTAAAAATTAATAAAACACTATAAAATAATAGAAATAGGCACTTTTTATGTATTGAATGACATAAGAGAATCTAATGAAGTTGTTTTTGTATGGTATGCTATGGAGTATTTTTTTTTTCTGATTCTTCAAATTCCTTCATAAAGTTGGTGAAAAATGTGTGATGTTCGTTAACCTGTACCTTGCACAGTGTATAAAAGTGAATCACTATTTCATGTTTTAGCACAAAAGAGGATTTTAGATGGTATTTAAACATTTTTAATTTTTTTTTTTTTTTTTTTGTTCAAAAAATAGTTTACTTCCAAGCAATTGGAAAGATTTTCAAGAAAAGCTGAAAAGGAGCAAAAAGCTCAACAAGCGAAAGTTAAAAAGGTTGGTATAGTATTTATTATTGACATCCTTTCAAGGGACAATAACGTACATTGATATGAAAATGTCATACTTACTTTTCCTAAGTCGTACACCTCTCCCCCTCCCCCAATTCGAGACCCCTCTAATTTGAGACCACTTTCCCAAAGAACCAAATAACAATCTTTTAACACAAAACTAGCCCTCTAATTGGAGACCAAGCCCGAGACCATCCCTATTTTTCAGGTCCCAAAGGTGGTCTCGATTTGGAGGGCAAACTGTAGTTAAATACCATCTGTGGTGAATTTAGGAAAAAACCTAAAGAAATTCAAAACTTTGAAATCCTTATTTAAAGGGATCATAACTTTACACTGAGCCCAAAATTCAATTGAAATCTGCATTCATCATAGATGTTGTTAAATTTCGCTATGAGCTTGTAGGCATCATTGCCCCTTTCCATCATTGCAGAAGAGAATAATTCATGGATAGAAATTTAAATCAAATTATTAATTTACAAAAGATAATTGCTGATTTGCCTTGGTAACTGGATTTTATTTTTTAATGTTCAATTTTTAGGCTATAGAGCAAAGGAATATTGAAGGAGCAAAGATCTATGCAGAAAATGCGATACGAAAGAAAAATGAAGGATTGAATTACCTACGCATGGCGTCCAGGGTGGACGCTGTCTCATCCAGGGTCCAATCAGCTATGGCAATGAAAGAAGTAAGTTTATTTCATACCAATTACTATGTGATGATCCATAAACTAACAACTCAGTGGTGGTATTGTTGAATGGGGATTAGCATGAATCCCAGTCAACTCGTCAGATTAAACATATTAATTTGCTGATCCGTTCAAAGTTATTGTGGTTGCAGTTCCTGATAGTGTGGCCTAGGACCATAATTTTCGCCATCCTAAACCATAAATTCTTTACCTAAAAACCATGACGTCAACATAGAAAGCCATGCCCCCTCGGCTGAACCCGTTGTATTTAGCAACTACCTAGGCAACCCTTGGCTAGAACCCATCTTCTAGGTAAGTTTCTGGAACCACCACTGCCCCACTTTCATGTATTCATTCTATCCTATCAGTGTTTTTTTCATTTTTATGTGGCCCTTTGTAAACGATATTTATTAATTCATTGTTATTTCTGTGTGATGAGATTTTCATGAAATTGATAATAAGTAATATTTTTTTTTACTGAAACTTGTTTCAGATTACAAAGAATATGGGAAGTGTAGTGAAAGGACTTGATAAAGCAATGGCATCCATGGACCTACAAAAGGTATCATATTTTTCTTCTACACCAAGCTTATACATCTAGACAAGCTCATAGAGTACCACAGTCGTGTCGTCGCGACGCCAGGTGGCGCTCTCTGTTGTCAACAGACGACGGTTACCGTTCATTACGCCTGAATAACTTCATAGGCTTTCTGGAATAGGCATTTTAAAATCTAATATTTTACCATCAAAATGTACTGAAAACAATAAAAGCTCACATTATATTAGTTATCAAACACATATTTAATCATCAATTAAAATTTACAAAGAAAAAGTAAGATACAACATCTTAATAATTACATTAGAAATGGGGATCAGGTTTGTCAGTGGAGAAAATGGCACCTGGTTAAACGCTTTTTGCAACCATAGCTACGGAGTAGTATCACGCGGTATCGTGATGTAACACTGTTGTCTGTATAATATTACACATTACAACAATAACAAATGGAACAATTAATCAATTGTTGGTAATTGATTGTTGGTAAAGTAAGTTTAGTGATTGCTGTTTCCTTTGTTAATTGTTAATTACAGTATTTGATTGTTAATGGTTTTTAATCCTTTTGAACATTTTTAGTGTTCTGTCCTTTTCAGTGCTTATTTTTATTATCATCTTTAAATATTTTATTGTTATTGGTGAAGCTTCTTGTTGCTTTGATGTGAATTTTTTAAGGTAAATTAATTTGTGAAGTCTGTTTTGGATATTTATTTGGTAATTTTCCCATAATTCAATTTGTTTTGCAATGAGTTTGATAATATAGTATAATACATACTCCAAGTATCAAAATACTCCACCGTGTAGGGATTCAATATTTCAACATTAATTATTCAATTAAATATTTAATCCCGACATGATGGCATGCATTTCGATACTTGGAGTATGTATTATACTATCTTATCTGAGATTAATCAGTGGACCTTTCGGAGTTTGATAATAAAACCAGGAAAAGGAAAGAAAAAGAAAAGATTTATTAACTTATTGATTAATTGGAGGGCAATAAACCAAGCAAACTGGATAGAACAAAAATAGTGTGAAGAATAGAACATTGACAAAACAAGTTTACACTTTAATGAGCCAACTAAGGCTTATTTAGTAATAAATAATATAAAAAAAATATGAAATATCTTTCACCAATTTTATTGTCATTTTTATCATTATAGGTGTCTCAAATTATGGAGAAGTTTGAATCACAGTTCGAAGATCTAGATGTCCACACACAGGTTTTTTTTTTTTTTGTTGTATTTTTGTTAAGGGAAAGTGTATTACAGTAATTTGACAATGGAACTCTCCGTGGTTGCTCAGTGTCCAATCTAAGAACCATAGGTTGAAATCCTTCAAAATTCTATCGTTCCTCATGCCAGATATGTAAGGGGTGGGAGGGGATGGGGTGCACACCAATCAGTTTGTATAAAAAAGCAGGCACATGATAATTTAGTTTATGCAAAGGCCCTGTATGAAATACAGCACGTTTCCACTATTTCCATCAGCCTTTTTGTAGCAACTAATATCTAGAGTGTCAATAAACAAATGACCAGTCATATCAGGAAAAGTGGCATAATGGCTATGAGCTCTCACTGGCTAAAGCCAGGCCCTAGAGCCTCAAGGGCCCTGGAGCCTCAAGAGGGCCCCGGAGCCTCAAGGGTCCCCCAACAAATTCAAATATTTTATTTTTTACAAATAACCAAGGCCCTTTTCCAAACCAAAGTCTGTCGAGTGATTGGTGCATTTTTATTTTCATCGCTATCGCCAGTCTACGTTTTGTTAAAATGAATGTCCATAAATATTTATTGATTATAATTGGCTCCTTTTTTTGTGGTATTTATTGTAATAGTTTATTAGTTATAACTTAGTTAAAATTAAGAACCGGTATGGCTTTTTTGCGTAAAGTCACGATACATAAACCTAGAATCTAAATGTGTGAAAAAGGCATTAAAATATATCAAAGAACGCAAAAAAAACGCTGCAGACCCCCACCAGGGTTCCATTCTCGGCCCCCAGCATCTGGGAAGGGCCCCTGCCCAGGGGCCTCCAACTCCTTTGTCACGCCACTGGCCATCAACATGTGCACATCCAACAAACACACATGCTTATGCTTATCAACAGTATCCAAGAGATGGGGCTTATTAAGCCACAGCATTTTCCATGTGATGTAACATTGCATGCAAATGACCTTTGAAAATTTATTTAATTATTTTTGTCGTTCAGGTCTTGGAAGGTTCTCTCGGTAATGCAACAACTCTAAGCACGCCACAGGATCAGGTTGATCAGCTGATAAAACAAGTGGCGGACGAGAACGGCTTGGACATAATCAGTGATCTTGCAGAAGCACCTGAGGTTAGCGATACAATAGCAAGCTCTTCAAGATCTATGCAAGAAGAGGATGTCCTGTCCAGGAGGTTAAGGGCACTCAGAGAATGAAAATGGCTCTCAAACATTAGACAGAGCAGAAAGGTTAAGATTATCAGGCACACCAGGTGAAGGAGAAAATGCACTTGTTTCCAAATTCAGATACTGTCTCTTATACACATCTAGATACAACATCTTAATAATTACATTAGAA